CGGTTTGCAAGAATATTTCTTTTTGATTCTCTGTGTGATTTGTGTGTAACCTTGTTCAGAGCACAATAAAGAAACTATAAACAACAAGTGTGTTTTTGAATTGAAATCCCGTTTATATCCTCGCTAGAGTTTCATTTGCTAACCAGACTAAAATAAGTAGACGATCCGCACATTTGAAGACATGTTAAACCCTTGCAAACTGTCAGGAGAAAGGAAAACTCTGGCTAACACTTGCTTTCATCATAGTTAGTCTACTAACTATGTTCTCTCTCAACTGTCGGCAAATTTAGCGAGAACTTCACATGTTTTGTTCCGATGGATATTTTTGTGAACTTTCCGATTGAAATTGAAGACAATGGTTGGCTGTTATTTTGTAACCATGATATCAAAGATAGATCATGTTACAAATGAAATTAACTATTTGAACTTTAAAATGCGTCAGAACATTTGTCTGTCCTTTGATGAAAAAACGCTGTGTCAAATATCCTCTGTTTGACCAGGGTAGGGAAATTCAAGACACGGACTGCCAAGCGCCATCGTAGATTTGTGGAAACATTGTTACTACGCTCCAAGTAAGGGAGACCCTAGGTACAAACGAGCACGATGAGCTGAGGGGAGGTGAGCAGGGAAAGGAGAAGGGGAAAGGGGAAAATTTCTTGACTAATTTTCCGCAGTCTATAAGGAGGGGAGTTACAAGAGCTCTTAATAGATATAAGAGAGGCGCCGTTTATAAACCGAATGTGCTACCTGGAACAAAAGAACCTTTTTGGTTGTGCGCATGTGTAGCCGTTGTGAATAGCGCCGGCTCACATCTCGATTTCTCCCAGAGGTCGATTTCTTGGTGCTGACCCAAAAGATCGCGGCCTGAAAGTTAAAGTGACTGATTTATTGATCTCTAGGCAATACACGGATTCTGACAAGTAACAACTGTATATCAAAATGAAAGCCGTAAATTATTTGGCTAAACTTTACGAATTATCTTTTGGACTTTTGTTACATAAAATGAAAACAATATGCAGTCGCACTGGCAGATGAAATTGGAACAAACATCTGCAATGTAGTTTACTTAAATCTTATCTTGTCCCTACAATCACAAGCATGCATTTACAATACATGAAAATGCATTTAATTTAACCTATTACAAAGTCAGGTACAATGTGTATACATAAGTCTGTGCTCCATGCAATAGTTTGACCAATTTTCTGAGCATTTAAATGCCAAGCTTCTTCAATCTGTAAAAAGAGAAAGAAAATTGCTTTGATTGATTTTAAGACAAGAATATTTGTCACTCTTGAAAGAAAAAAACAAAGAAACGTTACGTCGCAAAATGAAGATATTTAGAATTGCGCACCTCTTTTTTAAAGTTACTTTTGTTTTGGGCCTACATCAAGGCAAGGCACATTTCTTTTATGAAAATAAAATATAACTTTCATCTAACCCAACGTAAAAAAAATTAAAAAATATTAGCTTACATTATAAAAGATCATGGCTAAGGAAGGAGAAGACTGTAATTGAAAGGTGAAGTCGTTTCTTTCCCAATATTTCGTTGTTCCGTAATGTATTGTGTTTAAACAGCCCGAGTTAGCAGCTGAAAATAGGCGACTTATGTTGTTGACAAGTTTTAGGTTTTAGACTTACCCGAACAAGCGGATTCTTTGATTTCATCAATCTTCGTTTGTAGTTTATCAAAGTTCTCCACCTGGACCACTCGGTCTGTATCTTCTTCATCGTCAAAAACTCCCGCGATCAACCGCAGATTCTCTTCATTGATTCGTTTACCAATCCCCACTGCTACTATGTAAATATCTTTTGCCTGTCAAAAGAGAACAAATGTAGTACGACCTACACAATAATAATGATGATGATGATGACGACTAAGATGATGATGACGACGAACATGAAAACACATGAAAACCGTCATGTTGTTGTAGACGCATATTCTCCTATAAAAGTTCGATGAAGAAATAAATGACCAGATACTAGGAGTGTTTTAACATATTAAACTTGCCAAACGAACTGATTTGGAGTAAAATTTGTCAAGTTTGGATCAAAGATGAATTCAATTTTCAAAAAAATGATCTCCAAACTTTACTATCGAGAGGAACGCTTTGCATCCTTACCCAGGAATTGACTGACGGTCACATATAAACGGCCAACGATCTAGGGATACTAACCTCAAAACTTTTCGCTATTTCCTTGGCAAACTCTTCGAAAGTCGTCTTTCTGAGGTGATTTGGATTTCCATCCGTAAGCACAATCATGAGATCTGGTTTGTCTGCTCTGTCTCCCCCAGCCTCTGTAAACAGTTCATTTGCTGCCCTCAGTGCGAGGTCGGTACGAGTTCCTCTTCCTGGCTCAACTAGTCGGCTGGCTATTCCCTGCCTGAGGGCTTCCTTGTCGTGGTACTCTGAATCGGCGAAGGTGAACGCCGTGGTGGCCTTCCTGCTAAAAGTGATCAACCCGAAGTGATCTTCATCTGGTCCAGGGTTGAATTTTTCTACTAGATCCTCCAAGAACTCGGCAGCTTTCTTTAGGTTTTTTTTGCTAATACTGCTAGACTTGTCGACAACTAATGCAATGTCAAGCCCTGCTTTACATGAAGGTGCTGTATGATCAAAGAGGAAATTGTTTAATAAATGGTAAATATAAGTCACATACATGTTGGATTGATATTCTTAGTGCCCTAGGAGAGAGCTTCACGTTAACTTTACCACAAATTATGAGTTATACATCTCTTGCCCCTCGCTGATAGCCTCATCTGTCAGCGTACAATAAACAATTCCACTTTAGTACTCCCCGATATTTTCTTATTTTGTTAAAAGACATTCTTACGGAAGTTGCATTTTGCTTCAAGTCTATGAACCTTCACACTTAAATTTTGTTTTGATCCCAATATGTTATCGAGGAAAAAACTTGTGATTTATTCTTTGGCTTAATCTATTTTCCATCAATAAATCAATAAATACATCAAAAAACATCAATTATTTGAAATCTTTTGTAGAAAGGAAAACAGCATGTCAATTCGAACTCAATTATAATTGTTATGAACAAATACTCACGGCATTCCTGTTCGTTGCAGGAGTCTTTCTTTACCGCTGGCCCCAGTCCACTGCAGTCCTTTCCACCGTTAGCAGGCGGGGGATTGGTGCAGGTTCTTGTTAGTATCTTTGTTCCTCCTCCACACGTCACATTGCATTCAGTGCATTCCAACCAATCAGAATAACCTCCGTTGATAGCTGTAATGGGAATAGAACAGCGCTTGTTATATATTACCCAACCCAGGGAAGCAATATAACCGTCATTGAGAATACATAGCTTACGACATTCTTGATCGTTACACGAGACTTCCTCTTCTGATGGTCCCAGTCCACTGCAATTCTTTCCACCGTTAGAGGGCGAGGGATTGGTGCAGGTTCTTGTGAGTGTCTGTATTCCTCCTCCACACGTCACACTGCACTCAGAAATCGACCAATCAGTGTAACCACCGTCAATAGCTGCAAAAATATTGAGAAGTTTGGTACGCTTATCTTCTCATAAAAGTAGTACAGCTCTATCAGGGGTGAGACTAGAATTAAATTATAGGAACTAGCTACAAGTCTACAAGAAAAACGAAGAAATAATTGAGATTTTTATATGCCTATGACATTGGCCGTCATCAGAGATATTCTATGTCTAAATTATAACAAATCTTCTCCTAAGCTATTTTTTATCATCTTTGTTGGAAGTAATATAATATATGTTTCTTTCAGTCGTGACAGCAAATGAAAATCATGAAGTAAGAATTTCTCCCAAAAATTAATGGGGAATAATTCTGAACATGATTTAATTTTATTGATGGTAATTATACTATTGACAGGTTGTCCTACCACCCTTGGCGCAACTTATTTCTGTTTGAATAGTTTATTCCATGTTCTTCATGGCTTGGGAGATTCAGTGAAACGTATGACGTCATACCCCGAGATATGGCGTAATAACTAACGGGTGATCTCTCAGAGCTTTTCTATTTTTTGATCAGGTCGAAGAACTAAAAGAAAAACAAACAATACGAAAGGTGTAAAGAAAACTCACGGCAGTCTTGCTCGTTGCACGACTCTGTCTTCACAGTTGGTTCCAGTTCACTGCAGCCCTCACCGTCCAATGGCACACAGGTTCTTATAAATGTCTGTGTTCCTCCTCCACACGCCAAACTGCACTCAGAACATGCTGACCAATCAGTGTAGCCACCTTCAGTTGCTGTATGAGGAAAATATTGCTACCTTATTATATTTCTGGTAGCGTTAAATTTGACTTATGCTTATGATGTAGAGAAAGTTTCCTTACATTCGAGTTTCATATAGTAGCAACAAATTTGAGCAATTAAGCTAAGAGTGAGCTTAAGCAAACAACGACGACGATGTCAATGAGAACGTCACCAAGCAAAAGGATTAGTGAGCAAAACAATGGTTGTGCGCGTGCGATATAAATCTTTGCACATTTCTTCGCCGTCCTCTGCAAAACAACAACGTTAGATGACGTAGAGTTCTGCGAAGTCTGAGGAACGCGAACGTCGAAGGCTAATTTTTCGTATTTCCATTTGAATTTGAACACTGTCATTGAATGTTTAGCCGGAGCACGTTTCTAGAGCCATTGGTGTACTGAACAGGACAATTTCGAATTTTGGTGGTAAAATATAAATTCATTTTTGACAAGGAGTCGTCCTCGGCGTCGCCG